GGAAAACAAGAAATTCCAACATTCCAATGAAATAAGAGATCTGCCTCTGGTAGGCTGAAACCCTTATCAACTAAATACCAAAGGTACAGCATTCATTTCCTGTTTAGTTAGGAGCTAGAAAGTTTGTTTCTGAAGCTGGTCTCTGAGAGAAGCATTTTAAGCCTATTCTTAGTGATTTCCTTAAGAGGTAACTCTTCATTCAACTATTTTTTAGCATACATTCTATTTGTTTTTAAAATGAATTGTTATTGATATTATTTGATTATATACTGAATGTATTATAAACTGTCATTAAATTAAATAATATTAATAATTTATGGATAATGAAGGGTGGCCCACTTTTGGATCAATGTTTTATTAAATGCTCCAGTAGTGGACCTACGGGGCTCAGTACTGGAGCATATGCTTTCTCTCAAATGGACTGTTTTGTGATGTTTGAAAAAAGGTTATATCTCGTAAAATCTTTTTAAATAATTGGATTTGCTTTATTTTTATCAGAACCAGTAGTGGGTTACATGACCCACGTTTGATACACTTATGGCCCACTACTGGAACATTCTGACCAATTACTTAATAAATATTTTATAGTATTGACCATTGAATTTTCCTTTTGGAACAATGGAAAGGACAGAAAAACATTATTCAGAAGATAAATTAATAGCTGCCATTAATGAGGTTGAAAAGGGACATGGCATTAGCTCAGTTGCTAAAAAATACTTTAAATCTACATAGAACAAAAAGGATTTTGTAATTGTTGAAAACGATTTATTCAACATAAAATATCGAGATTTAATAGCCATAATGCCCCAACCAGAACTTAAAATGAAAGATCGATAATTAGCATATACCTTTAATAAAAAATTGGCTGTTAGAGAAAAAATGTAAATCTCATGTGACTAGAATATATAAATAAAAGATTTCACCTATATCAAGCCATTTTTTGTATTTTTTATAGTGTATAATGTTAATGTATTGTTAGTATTACTGTATATAATGATTTTATTTTTTTTCTTCGACACATTTGACAAATCTGGGTGGCCCACTTTTGGTATGCCCACTACTGGTACATCAAAAGTTTGCTATGCCCACTTCTGGTGCATAGGAGTGATCTAAGTTTTTAATTTTTAAAAAATTACATTACAATTATTTTAATATTTCAGGAGATTATTATTTTAGATAAGAGTTTGAACAACCATAAAAAAATATAGATTAGCAAAACTTCTCTAAAGTTTAGTTGATAATTGAGGAAATACCCTTAAGTGGCCCACTACTGGAGCATTTACCTTAGTTCAACTCATACAGGGTCCCATTTCCCATGGATAAAATAAAACATCCTTGAAAATTAGAAAAAGTATTTTTAGGTATCCTGCGCTGGCAGGCCTGATGGATTTTGTCCCTCCTTTCTCTCTCTCTCAGCAGATATGCATCCATGATAATCTCAAAGAAAAATTTTTAATAAGAGACAAATGGAGGGTTCAGAGTTAAAGTGAATCAAGTCATTGTGATTCATTTCTGAGAAAACAGATCTCTAAATTGATTAGCTATACTGCTTTTTCTAATGACTGACTTCGAGTTGTTCTTGCTATCTGGCACATACAAATTGAACTATGGACTTGAAATTATAGAATATATGGACTATGGACTTGAACTATCAGATACATAAAATTTGCTAAGTTAAAGTAAGAATTCCATATTTTTTTATTGAATACAAACAAAGATTTATGCATCAAAGTTTTTTTTTTTAATAAACAGAATATCACCTTTAGGGCCATCAATTTATTAATTGCATAATAGATTTACCATGTTTTTATCCTCCATATCATCATGTTTCATAGAACCTGGTTGGAAATCTTTACTGATTCCATGTACTACTATGTGTGAATAAGTGCACAAACTGAAATGTTGTAAACATTGTCAGGGAAAAAAAAAATCTTGATAAAATTACAAATATATATTTCAGACAACCAGACTTCAGATGATGTAATCTTATGATGAAAATTTATTTACATCTCATACTATAACAGCACAATTTTATAGTTTTCAGAAACCTAAATACTACTCGCGAATTTTTGATGCGGGATTATAAATTTTTAAAAATGTTATGCATCTCAAAATATCTCTTGCATTGCTTTGTAATCAAATGCAATGCAAATTAAAGAAAGGTAATCTGTTTCACATTTATTCATAAAGATCTGATGATAATTCATTTAAAATTTTTATACAGATCTTCACGATTACATATAAATAAAATTGATGTCAATATAATAAATCAATTTGAATATGAATAAGGAGATGTGGTTAACCAAAAGGCAAAAAAGAGGAAATACAAAAATGGGACACGAGAACGTGCATTAAAAAAACATGCAAGGAGTTTGAATTAAATAGTCAATGTACAGAAAAAATTATCAAAACTACAGCCCAATTGGTTTTTATATTCATTTCAAAATATTTATAAAAGTAAGAAATCAACAGCATATGATTTTCCCAAAGACACTTTACGAAGTATATTGTCAAGGACAAATTTAAATGTATATAGGACAACAAATATGAGGGGGAAGCCAGTGCTGGATTGCAAATATACCTCACTAGCATATTTTAGTTAACTCTTCTTTAATAGCCAAGAAATGTCTGAGATATTCCTTTGCAGCATATCTCGGACACATTACTGACTTTTTGTTTTTTTTACAGGTCTTTCATTGACATGACTCAATTGGCATTTCATAGTTTGCTTTTGAGCATCAGTCGTATTGGTACAACAAGCAGCTTTATTTTGTGTACAAGATTCAGATGTGGAAGGATTTTTTGAGACCTGGGACCTCATTTTTTTTTCAGAGGAATTTGGCAGCTTTTGCAGATATTTTCTTTGCGACTTCCTTTGACAATAGCTTTTTCCTTGGACTTGACTGTTTGTCACAAACATTTTTTTTTACTAAGAACTTCTGCTCTGTAGTTCCTTGATGCTGAATTCATGTTTTTACAGAGATTTCTGTCCACTTTATCTTTAAGATAGCCCTTTTTATACAATTGAACTGCAGATGTCTTTTCAAACATAAGCTCATACTTTACAGTCTTTATGGCATCAAACGAGTCTACACTTAGTCTATTTATTTCAGAATTGATGACAGAGTTCATGATACTAAAACTCGATTCGACTTTAGGCCCATGAAAACAGGTGAGCATGGCTCATGCCATATTTGACACTAGTGGAAACTTTCTGGAATTTTTAACTTCCATTCACCAGTTATCCACTCGTTCCTTCTGATGTGGTTGCCATAAACTGGCAGCATGATACTTGTGTACCTCCAAGTCATAAGCATTTCTTTCCTGAACACTAATGACATTAGTCACTAGATCAGGAAGAACTTTCATTAATGTCAAAAAAAAGAAAAGAATGCTTCCGACAAACGGGATCAACTGCCGACGCCGATTGCAACAGCAAATTATCCAAGGGCATCTTCTGCAATGTCCGTGAACATTCAACATAGACTTTCAATACATTTTTTGGGAATTTCTTCAATACATCCGATTTTGACTTTGGGGCTGAAGTGGAGAACCTTTTAACACCATATCCCATAAATACACATTTTGTGGGATGATATTTTTTTTCTCCTCCACATCAAAATTCTGATCTTTGTGGAAGAATCTTTTAAGGTAGCAATGTTTTCTGCTTTAATAAAACAGGATAAAAAATCTCTTACTAAATTCAACTGCTTTTCATGAAGTATGCGAATTAGTGGAGTGTTACTTCGAAATATCTTCACATATTCTTTCAACCAAGACAAATAGATTGGTAAATCTGGAGTTTAGAGTGGATACTATTTTCTCACCAATTTTCTTTGCCGTCGGCAAACACTGTTTAAGATGCACAGTGAGTTTTTTATAGGTCTCCTACGCATTCAACGCCAAACGGCATCTCAAAACAAGAAATTGAGCACGCAATGCCTTCGGCATTCATTGCAAGTCTGCACTGGTAAAATTTTTTTAACTTAAAAAAAAAACATCAGCAGCTTTGCTTTCAGCAAAGTGGGCCCCTAATAACTTCGCTTTCTCATTGAGAAACAAAACACACAGGGAAGGCAAGCACAGGAAAAACACATCTGAAGACAATGAAACATGGCAAGGGAACCATTGTTTCCAGAAAAAAACATTTCTTGTTCAATATTTGGAAGCCATAATCAGCAACCCGGAGAAACAGAATCATAAAATTAAATGAACGAAAATCTTATGAGAAGCGAAAGGTTATTGAAAAAATCATTTGGTAAATGATCAAGAATTCCAAACGAAGTATTATCCTAATTTGTACGCCAACCAATCAAATTGAAGAGAGCAGACAGTGGACCAATGGAAATGAGGCAAAATTAAGGACATGCACTGCAGACCGGTAAACAAATCACTGTTGGCGCATGCGCAAACACCAAAAAAATTTCCAACTTGGAGCCAAAACCAATGTTCCGGCACTCTCTCTTGGTGACAAACAATTGACAAGCTTAAGGAAAACGAAGCGAGTATGCACCCTAAACTCCAGGTTAACCCCTACTTATGTCAAAGCTTTCATTGCAAGAGTCTTTGTAGATTTTGGATGTGGTCTCTTGCAGTGCTCCCAACATTGCAAGCTTTATATACACTGACCAAAATTTGTAAGAACTGGCTGCTATTCATAGCACTCAAGAAAGGGAAATAAAAAACCGTCAATGCTCCTAATAACCTTAACAAATCTTAAGCAGCATCATATATAGAAAGCCACCTGAAAGATGCAAATGTTTGGAACATTGTGCATTTTACTTTTAATGCACAGCAAATTTCGCTGAAAATTGCACGCAGATCTGGAGACCATTTCAGATCATTATGTATGTACTTCGTAATTTTGAACTGTGGTCTGATGACAAGGATGACACCAGAGCTGGCATCTCCTCTCCAAACTTTTGCACCACACCAGGGGGAGAACGTTTGACCCCTACGTATGATTTAGCACGCAACAGGTCCAATACACAACAGATCCTCAGTGGAGTCAGGCTTCGAACCTGGAACCCTCCGGCTCCTAACCTGAAACCTTACCACTCGGTCCCTACAGCACTTAAAAGAATCTTGTCATTTTAAAAACTATGCCATGAAAAAGGGAAAAACAGTATACTCGAATTTTGATAGTATCAAGGTGCATAAACTAAACAAATTATAAATGTCACATCTTAAAAAAATAGCACAATTCCTAACATTTTTGTATCAAATATAACATCCATGGATGACTTAATTTTAGCTTATAACTTCAGATCACAAGTTGATAAAAGTGTGAACCAAAGACAAATTATTCGATTGGTTAATGGATAATCTTTAATACTATAAAAACAGCAAATATGTTCACTAACTTGAGATAAATAAACAAATGAAACAACATATGGTTCAAATAATAAAAACAAAAAGTGTTTACTCGCAATTCCAGACACAAGCAGTATATTTCAGAAAAGTATGTTTAAATAGGTATAAAATTCCATATTTTTAACTTATAAGTATTTTTTTCAATATGCAAACATTATATGCTTAGTTAGTTATCAATATAAACTTTATTTCAAGTGTTAATCATTTATAAATTGGCCCAACCAAAGCGTATGGTACGGCACCAAACTTGAATTGTTTTGGTGATAAATCACCAAATGTAGTAGATAACCCAATTGATTTTCTATTGCAACCTTGGCGAGTTTTCCAAGATTTAGCACCAGCTTGGCAAGATATGTATGGTACACTTTGGTGGACCACACCGTGTTCTTAAGTAGAGCCTTATTTTCAAAGGATAGGGTCAGGTGGGGTAAAGTGGTCATACATCAAAATGCTGTAACTTTGTGATGAATATTGGCATGAATGTAATTTTTTTATTTTAGCTTTTAACAGTTAAGAACTAAGTTTAACATTCAAAATTATACTAATTCAGAGTTCGTACACATTTCCTTAAAAGAAAATCAAGGACTTTTAAGGACTAAAAAAAACAAAAAATAAGGACCTCTAAATTGAATAAACTTAACGAATTGTCGCACACATTTTTAAATAAAATGTCTCATTTTTGCAAATTCAACCTATTAGATGATAAATTACATAGAAGATACATTACAAATTTAACACAACAAAACTCCTAAAAATATGAGTTAAGAAATTGATGAAAAAAAAAAAAAACCATGAAACTGGTAATCAAATTAAATATCTTTTAATTCCAAACTTTTTTCATTCAATTTTACATCTAAGGTATTTATTTTAATTTCTTTTTCAGAAAATGTTTTTCTTAGTTCATGCGATTGAATAAATAAATTTATGTCCTTTGACTTTTCAGCCTCCTTAGCTAAATCATTTGCTTTCTCATTTGTTTGGTGTAGGTCCATTTGGAGGAACATTTTCTTTTGTTTTAAAAAATCTATTTCCTCCTCTAAAGCTTTTTGTTTCAGTTGTTTTGTTTCAGTCTTTTCTTTGGATCTTTCACTTTCTAAATACTGCATGTATTTTGCTCTAGCTGAGGTGGCAGCCATCCTCATTTCTTTAGTAATTTTTAAGTCATACATAGCCAGACAGCTTAATAAATTCATGATTTAGACGCTGGGAAATATATGAAGCATCTTTCAAATTTTCTATTTCCAGGGCCTTGTTCACCGAAAAACCTCATTGTCCATGTGACAGTTTTAATACCATTTTGATAATCTTCCAAACTTTTTCATAATGATTATTGTTAAAATAAGTTTGTAAAAAAGTAGCAAGGGAATCACTCTTTGGATTGAAAGAAGTAAATTCAAATGAATTTGGATTTACAATATTTAACAGAAAATCTGCATAGAGTAACAAAATTTCGTCCAAATCTTTTTCCAAAATACGTTTATTTTGCGACAACACAATCAATACCTTTTTCATTTTTTCCTGTGCTTTTTTGGGATATCCAGCCATTACTCGTGGATCAATGCAAATCGCAGGTCTTTCTAGTGCGTAATTCACAGAACATTTCTGCATGAAATGTTTTATCATTGTTATGCTGTTTTTCCGACTATCCTGTCTGAGTGTTAAAACATCTTCGTCTGCTAATTCCTTATTTTTTATCTTTTCTTTTATTAGTTGCTCTGCAGCAAATCCTAAATACGCTTAACTTATATTATTTTATTATTATCATTATACAAGTTTGGGTCACTGAAGTTGAATTTGCATAAAGGCTCAGGTTTCTCAATTCTTTCATTCTCTGGTTTCAAAATTTTGAAATGTTGAATGCAATCATTAACAAGTTTTAAAAACATCACTGGCAAAAAATGGAAGTAAAGGTTTATCATTTTGATACTGTTCTAAAAATGGTAACAGCACTTTTGACAATCATTCCTATGGAATCATAGACCAATAAAGGCCATCTGTAACTCCTCCCTTATTTTCCAAAGTGCATGTGATGGATATGTATTCGTGGAACGCAAGCCGTGTCGTCCCCCCACCCCATTCCGCGAGAGCCACGTCGACCGAGATTAGAGCTGCCGAGAAGAAGGAATTAGAAAAACAATAACCGGTGAAATTTTAAATTTTTTAATAATGGCAGAGTAAAAAGTAAGGACTTTTTAAAAATGGGACATAAAAATAAGGATTTATAAGGACTTTTAAGGACTAAATGTAAAAGTAAGGACTTTCAAGGACTCGTACGAACCCTGTAATTGCAACACTTTAGAAGAAGAAAACACAAATTTTGTTTGTTTATGTAGCAGTCTGAAGTTGGAATACCCAATTTAACTTCTCTCCTATATTTTGTTTAATTAAGTTTTCATTAGATTGACTCTGCAGAAAGCTTCATGTAGATCTCAAGAATACTTCCTCATTAACAGGTAAGCTGAATTAATTACAGATATTATTTTATAGTATAGGAAGATGGTGTACCTTGAACCTATGCCGATTTTAGCACCACCTGTATAGATGTATAGAAAATGCTATATGTATTTTGTACACTTGCCACCAGAGGTCCCAGTGAACCTGAACTTATTTGTCAAGCTGCTCATTTGAATGAATGAATCCTGAAAAAGGAAATTGACCCATCAAAAGTAATTTTTTTTTCTGTTGAATTTTGTGTTAATATTTCCTAAACATACATAAATTACTTTATAGTAAAAAGCTTAACTTATAAAGCACAGTTTTAGCTATAATGACATGTGTTAGAAATTATGTTAAGCTTAACCTCAATTCAGTAGTCAACCATTTTCCATGAAATGCCCAAGTGTACCTTGGACCATGCCCAAGTGGTGTACCTTGGACCATGTCCACCTTGGTGCATGGCAGTGGTATTCTACCACTTACATTGTGGAAAAATGTGATCAAGGTTCGTACACATTTCCTTAAAAGAAAATCAAGGACTATCAAGGACTTTTAAGGACTAAAAAAAACAAAAAATAAGGACCTCTAAATTGAATAGACTTAACGAATTGTCGCACGCATTTTTAAATAAAATCTCATTTTTGCAAATTCAACCTATTAGATGATAAATTATAATATAAAACATAGAAGATACATTACAAATTTAACACAACAAAACTCCTAAAAATATGAGTTAATAAATTGATGAAAAAAAAAACCCCATGAAACTGATAATCAAATTAAATATCTTTTAATTCCAAACTTTTTTCATTCAATTTTACATCCAAGGTATTTATTTTAATTTCTTTTTCAGAAATTGTTTTTCTTAGTTCATGCGATTGAATAAATAAATTCATGTCCTTTGTCTTTTCAGCCTCATTAGCTAAATCATTTGCTTTCTCATTTGTTTGGTGCATGTCCGTTTGGAGGAACATTTTCTTTTGTTTTAAAAAATCTATTTCTTCCTCAGCTCCTTCAGCTTCTATTTCTCCTTCAGCTTTTCGTTTCAGTTGTTTTGTTTCAGTCTTTTCTTTGGATCTTTCACTTTCTAAATACTGCATGTATTTTGCTCTAGCTGAGGTGGCAGCCGTCCTCATTTCTTTAATAATTTTTAAGTCATAAATAGCCCCAGACAGCTTAACAAATTCATGATTTACACACTGGAAAATATATGTAGCATCTTTTAAATTTTCTATTTCCAGGGCCTTGTTCACCGAAAAACCTCATTCTCCATGTGACAGTATTAATACCATTTTGATAATCTTCCAAACTTTTTCATAATGATTATTGCTAAAATAAGTTTGTAAATAATTATCAAGAAGGGAATCACTCTTTGGATTGAAAGAAGCAAATTCAAATGAATTTGGCTTTACAATATTTAACAGAAAATCTGCATAGAATAACAAAATTTCGCTGCAATCTTTTCCCAAAGTACGTTTATTTTGCGACAATACAATCAATACCTTTTTCATTTTTTCCTGTACTTTTCGGGATATCCAGCCATTACTCGTGGATTAATGCAAATCGCAGGTCTTACTAGTGCGTAATACACAGGACATTTCTGCATGAAATGTTTTATCATTGTTATGATGTTTTTCCGACTATCCTGTCTGAGTGTGAGAACATCCTTGTCTGCTAATTCCTTATTTTTTATCTTTTCTTTTATTAGTTGCTCTGCAGCAAATCCTAAATACATTTAACTTTTATCATTATACAAGTTTAGGTCACCGAAGTTGAATTTGCATAAAGTCTCAGGTTTCTCAATTCTTTCATTCTCTGGTTTCAAAATTTTGAAATGTCGAATGCAATCATTAACAAGTTTTAATACATCACTGGCAAAAAATGGAAGTAAAGGTTTATCACTTTGATACTGTTCTAAAAATGGTAACAGCACTTTTGACATCATTCCTATGGAACCATGGACCAATAAAGGCCATCTGTAACTCCTCCCTTATTTCCCAAAGTGTATGCGATGGATATGGATTCGTAGAACGCGAGCAGTGTCGTCCCCCCCACCCCCACTGCAATCCGTGAGAGCCACATCGACCGAGATTAGAGCCGCCGAGAAAGAGGAATTAGAAAAACGATAATCCGAGAAATTTTAAATTTTTTAATAATGGCAGAGTAAAAAGTAAGGACTTTCAAGGACTTTTTAAAAATGGGGCATAAAAATAAGGATTTGTAAGGACTTTTAAGGACTAAATGTAAAAGTAAGGACTTTTAAGGA